GCGTTTCTGCGCCACGATAAGAACACTCGGATCGTACGCGTCATCGCTACTAGGGCATCGTCACTCAGGATGGTATTTGTGGAATGTACCACACCGAACACGTAGCACTAGTGTCGATGTTGCAGAGCAGTCTATTTTCCGTTTTTTTTCCCTTTGCTTTTCCAAGCTGTTCGACATCGAATTAAAATAACTTCCACGCGACAGATGTCGTTCAAATTTGGCCAAGAAGACCTTTGTATACCAAGCGATCGAATGATGGGCTCATGCCAATCTTGAAATTTGATGTCAGTGCTCCTTTAAAGATACCTTGGGACAGAAGATTTTATTTGAGTGGAATCAAGTTTCGAAGTTTTGCGGAGTGAGTGGTGAGCCACTGCAGCCTGTTGGCGTGTGTTGAGGTAATGTGTTTCTTGGAGGCTACATTATCCCAACGAAATTCGGGATAATTTCGCAGGCGACACATGATGTCATTTTGGGTATGAACTTTTTGAAGGAGTGTGGTGCGACTGTCAACTGCAGCACAAGAACGATACTCTTGAGAGTCACGTTCTGCCAGCACTCTTGGAAAACTTGAATCACGTTCCGACAGCACTCTTGGTGAGACGGCATTGTGTGTCTGTGGCAACACTATCATACCTCCATCTTCAACCGTTTGTGTACCAGTTGGTTGCAGCAACAGCCATTCCGCCAACTTTGATACCCACGTAGAACCAGTGTACACCAACTGCATGAAAAAGAATGTGTTGATCCCACATTGTGTGGTGTCGATCAGATGTAGACGCACTGACTAATAGACTGTCAATTGCTCCACACAGTCCGTGATGCTACCAGATGGTCTAAAGTTAGCCGTCGTCAGTGAACAACACGAGGCCTTATTGGTGACCGCCAAAAGAGCAGAAGAGATGCGCCGCCGGAAGAGCATTGTAGTCACAGTTCGGAAACGGCTCTTCTGTCAATGGTGAATAAGTTGCTAAGAACAAGTGAATGCCGAACATTGGTGAATTTACTTTCGAAGCATATCTCGGCATTCGACTGTGCAGAAAGACAAAGCACTCTTAATCCCTGCTTCTCGAACATGTCGGACCATCAATACGGGTTTGGCCAATCCGATTAGACAAAAGCCATACCGTGTTTCACCATCCGAGCAGTGGATTATTAATGAGCAGGTGAACGAAATGATTTAAAACGAAGTTATTCAAGAGTCAGAGAGTCCATGGGCAGCTCCAGTGATTATCGTTAAAAAGAAAGACAGATCATGGAGATTTTGCGTCGATTATCGCCGATTGAATGCTGTAACAAAAAAGACGTGTACCCACTTCCACCTATTGATGATGCCATCGACTGTCTACATTCAGCTTCTTACTTTTCCTCGGTAGACTTAAGATTGGGCTACTGGCAAATTCCCCTGCATCCTGAAGATAAAAAAAAGACAGCCTTTGTAACCCCCGATGGCCTTTTCGAATTCAATGTGATGCCATTTGGACTGTGCAACGCCCCGGCAGCTTTCGAGCGATTTATGGACACTGTTCTTCGTGGCTTGAAGTGGAGCATTTGCATGTGCTATCTTGACAACGTCATCTATGGCTGCACCTTCAGCGAACACAATTCAGGTCTGAATATTGTACTGACTTGCATAATAAATGCTGGCCTTGTTCTCAACTCAAAGAAATGCCACTTCGGAGGCCGACAAACCCTTGTTCTCGGACACCTCGTCGATCAGGATGGCATCTGTCCAGATCCCCAGAAGAGAGCAGCCATTGAAATGTTCAGTGTGCCGCGCTCTGTTAAGGAGCTCTGCATTTTTTGGGGGGGGCTTTACTCTTATTTTCGTCGCTTTATACCAAATTTTGCTGATGTCGCGTATCCGCTGATATGTTTACTATGGAAGAATATTCTCTTTGAGTGGACTATGGAGTGCGACTCCTCATTTTATCCACTGAAGTTCCTTCTCACATCACGGCCTCTTATTCAACACTTTGGCCCATCAGCTCCAACAGAACTGCACACGGATGTCAGTGGCATAGGAATTGGTGCCGTTCTAGTTCAACGCTACGATAACCGTGAGCATGTCATCGCACACGCAAGTCACTTCTCAAGTAGGCCCGAGCGCAATTACACTGTCACAGAGCAAGAATACCTCGCGGTAGTATTTGCGATTCAGCGGTTTCGGCCTTACCTATATGGACGCCCATTTACAGTTGTCACCGACCACCACTTATTGTGTTGGCTCGTCAACCTTCAGGACCCTTGCGGCAGTCTAGTACACTGGGCACTTCAGCTCCAAGAGTGTAGCTTTACAGTCTCATATAAAAGCGGTCAACGACACGCTGACACAGATTGCTGTTGCGCATGCCATTGAGCACTACAGTGTGTGATGCCGATAACCTCGACCACTTCGTAGTCTCTGTGTCACCAAAGTTTCCCAACTTCAGTACTTTCAAAGAAGAACAGTGAAAGGACACCAATCATTGCTCTGCACAGCTTCTAGAGCATGCCATTTCTGTGTATGCAACAGACCCCTGTATAAGAACTTTTCCAGCACTGGCGCACGTTTCCTCCTGGTGGTGCCAGAAAGCCTTTGGCCAGTGATTTTAAGTGCTATGCACGACGATCCTACGTCCGAACATTTAGGTTCTGTGTGGACGCTCTACTGTGCTAAAGAACGTTTTTATTGGCCGGGAATGCGACAGTCCGCCGAGGTGTATGTGGCCAGCTGCACGCAGTGTCAACGCCACAATGCCCATCTACTGCTCCAGCTGGTCTTCTACAACCCCTGCCACCTCCAAGAACCTTTCCAACAAGTGGGCATTGACCTCGTGGGCCCTTTTTCAAAGTCGGCTAAGGGCCATTGCTGGATAATTGTATGCGTCAATAACCTCACGCGCTACTGCGAGACGGTGGCCACATCAACCGCAACTGCCAGCAATGTCTCTGTGTTCCTGCTGCAGCATATTATCCTCCAACATGGCCCACCTCACGTGATCATCAAGATCGTAGACAATTCATGGCAGATATAGTAGAAATGCTACTTCGATTGAGTGAGTCCCACCTCTGTCACTCGTCGCCATACCATCCGCAAACAAATGGGCTCCCGTAGCGTACCAATCGAATAATTAAACATGCTCTCTATGTAGGTAGCATCTGACCACAAGAACTGGGATGATGTGCTACTATTTATAACGTACGCGTTTAACACCGCTAAGCACGAGACAACAGGCTATAGCCCCTTTTTCTTAATGTATGCACGACTGATGCGGCACACACTCGACACAGTTTTTCTATTCTCGACGCACAGGAACCTCCCTGTAGCCAAAACCCTTTGCCTTGCAGAAGAGGCACGTCATATTGCTGGTTTACACACTTTGGCATCACAAGACGAATTGATACGACGTCCACCACCGGCTTGTAACTTAGCATCCAGGCGACTTAGTGGTGGCTCTGGACTCCAGTACCAAAACGCGGGTTATGCCAAAAGTTCTTGCCCACATATGTTGGACCGTTTGTTGTTCTTAACAAAATCGCGGAAGTCGCGTACACAATAGCTCGCCTCACGAGAAATGATAGAAGAGCTGCTAAAACCCCACAGTCCATGTCACCCAACTGAAGTTGTACACACCAAGGTGAATCAATTACCTCGCTCGGCGGGCTTCGTCTGTGAGGGGAGGGATTTTGCGCATGCCTGGAAAGAAAACCAAGATGGGTGAATGTGTTGGCCACCCCGATCTGCAGCAAAAGAGGGAAGATGACAACGCTATGATCAGCAACCTGTTGGCCGCTCCGGCACTTCTCTTCGCGGCCAAATAAACAGCCCCTTCAGCTGTGTACATCCTCTTCGTGCGTAACAATATATATAGGTAGTTCCAATGTGTAATATACATTAAAAAGAAAATGAAGTGTCATAGCACAAACGACGGGTAATTGTTCATTTAAAGGAGCACATACTTGTACCACCCGTACCCACTTGTGGCATAGTCGAAATTGCATCGCAGTCACTGTCATCAGCCTTCCAAAACATCGTTCTTGGTTCCGTCGAGCGCTGAGAATATCTAAGAAGTGGAGATCTCTTTATTCTCCCTGTAGTAGCAAGCCCACACTTAACGCTGGTCATCCATTCAATGTACACCTTGCTTGCGTACACAGTCCTTACACGATTTACAAAGTTAGACCACCATGAACAACATCCAAATTCACTCTCATGTCTCACAACTTTTCCTTCATGCCGTCCATGAGAGGATTTTAAAACTGTTGAACACCAATACCAATGGCACTCTCAACAAAGCGCCTAGTCGTTTACCCTAGAGTGAGTTGAGCCAGTTGTTCACCAATGCTTCAATTATCCAAAGGACACTTGCAACCTGTTTATGATATGACAGTGCATGTCTGCAGAGCCATCCAAAATTTGCTTGTTCATGCATGCACGGCTAGAACAGGGAGCACAAACTATGCGGGTACTTTTTTTTTATCTGCCTGAAAGTTAGGAGTGTCCGAATTATGCGAGTAAATACAATAGTGAATCCTCCAGTGCTTTTCCAACACTGTCAACACAGTCATAAAACTCCTCTACTGAAGCATCTGCTTCAAATGCTGCCAATAGGGCAAATATTGCAGGGGAAAAGATAAGTTCACAGTATATGCATTTGCCATGGTGACCTTTACTAGTGAGTTCAACAGCACTTTCACTAGAAGTGTCGGAGGACTGTGCCTCTAGCTGTAGCTTCTAAAGCTTTCTGCAAACTTGGTAACAAATTGCTGTAAATATAAACATTTTTCGGTGTTTGCAGTAGGTGAAAGCTGAGGACTATTGATTACATTCACAAAGTTGAATAGAAGTCTGCCAAAGTCAAGCAAGACTGGTACACAAAGGTAGAGTCTGCATTATCCTCTTTCGTGTTTCAAAACAAAATTTTAATGAGGGCACATTGTAATGGGCCCTTATGCCTTTTCTTTTTTTGCTTGCAATGCGTGCCAATTACCATATGCACCTTCACACAAGGCCCGTGCACACATCTGACAAGCAGAGTTTAATGTCATACGTTATAAGTGTGGTGTGTACAGAGTCTTTTTGCTATGCACGAACACGTGAAGTGGATCTCGCAAGAGAAGAAGGCTGAGATGAAAAAACTGAAGAACAGGAGCTCAACGAATGTCCTGGACCACTTTAAGCCCAAGTAATTTGATTTCTATGCCAGTTGTACAAATAAACTTTTATTTATTGGATGTGTTGAAAATAAAGAAGTAGGGCATAGGCTTGGGGGGAGGTGTGAGAGACAAAGAGAATGAAGAGAACATTGCTAGGATTTCAAAGTCGGCCCTTATGGAGTAAACATCGTCTCCCAGTTCTATGACTCTGGGCCCCCGTTGCTTATATTTGGTGCCAAAACCCAAGAGTGGTCATTTCGGAATAACGATGACTTCGGCCCAGCATCTTCAAAAGGTGCGGGGAACTGTCAGGGCCAGTGTCTCATGCAATATTATGCTCCTGACTGGATTACTGCAAGACCTTGACACTGAGGCATGTAAGGTCAACAGGCGAGTCACCATTTTGATGACTAAAGAAGCTGAGCTCCGCCAGTTAGACAAGGAGATCCTCAACGTAACTGAGGCAGTTGTCCAGGAGCTCGGGGATGCTGCAAACTACCTTAAGAAGGTAGAATGTGCAAGTGAGGGTGGGCAGTATTTTTTGTTCCAACACGAACAGTCTCTTCACCTAAATGACACGAGCTATCAACCGCTTTTTAACGTCAGAAATGACCGTGAATACCACAACAAAGTTGGTTTCCATAAAAAAGCTAATGACTTTACCTTACTTTACCTTTTCTTAAAGGGGCCCTGCAAAACTTTTTTAACATGGTCAGAAAACTCAGCCAATCGGTAGTAGAGGCTCCCGAGAACATGCGAGCCAAAAGTTATAGTGCAGCAAGCGGCCTGGAATTCACAATAAATTATCCAAGTCAGCTAAAAATTGCTTTCTCTTCTCTTGACAAATGACGGAAGACGCTCAAAAATCACTTGCAGAAAGCCATCTATCAGCCATTGACCGATTTGAACATGGCGCGCCCTGTTGTTACAGAGATCTCCGTGGGAGGCTGCGACTTGTCCATGCGTGCGCGCGATCACACTGACAAAGCCGCATTCGAAGAAAAAAAAAAAGAAAAAGTGCTCAAGGTCCCAATGTGCACGTGATGTATTTTCCCCTGCCACACCTCCCTGCTTAGCTTCCAATGCTTTTGTCGGGACGAAAGAAGCAAAATGCGATTGCAGCATGCGACAAATCTTTGTAACTTCACTCACACTGTACGGATTCTTAAAATTTTGGGGGTGCTGAATTTGTGAAACAATAAGCTTTTCCAGTGAACTCATTCCATGGTTACTTGAAAGTGTTTTAGGGCCGCTTTAAGGCATGGAAAGAGACATTAAATGCTTGGAAGGCACAGATTCCAACCACAAAAGAGTAAAGTCTGCGAGTCAAAACAATTGTGTCGAGGTTCAAGCAATAAACTACACATAATCTCCCTGCAGAAGTGTGGACCTACCACATCATAATTCAGTGACTTGAGACTCTTTTTGTGGTGATAACGTGACAATGACGCGAGTGAGAAATTCTCTGGAGCAAACATGTCACGCTGTTAATTCTACAGAAGAGGAACAGCCATTTGAGCATTGTGGAAGTACCCTGAAGTGAGATGAAGAACTGATAGAAGATCAAAGGATTGACAATATTGAAAGAGCAGAAGGAGGTAAAATAAATGGTGGAGGCTGTGGTTTATACGATAAGGTTGAAGAGGATGAACATGTTGCTGTCATAGGCCAGCTGATGATGAGTGCAAAAGAACCTGTCGGCAGCTTACCAACCATCAACAACGACCAATTCAATCGGCTGGTCGGTGGAGAGAGCAGTCCTACCATGTTTCCTGTCCTGTACTTGACATTGGATGCACAGCCTGAACGTCAAGACTTTGTTTCACACAACTTTGAGGAACTAGACAAGGGTGTGACAAAACAAGGAGATGGTTGCCTAGAAACAAAAGTGAGAACGCTGCTTCTGCCTCAGGTAGTGAAGTGGAGAGTTTCGGCACCAAATGTATATGACAGAGACGGATGACACGTCTGCCTTCCTCTTCCCTACTAATGCCCACACTGATCCTAATGATGATTGTAGCCACGTAGTGCGTGACCTTCATAGTCTTCCATTTCCAACAGGATTCACACACTTGCTCACTTTCCTTTCTTCTGCTTTATCTTCGATATCAGGTCTTTACTCACATGGTGGACACCTTCATGTTGTACATGGCTTGGTTTCCTACGAAAAAAACAGGATTCCTTGCTTTACTATGGCACAGCAAAATGCACTGGTAATGCCTAAATGTACATGACGGCTTACCTTTGCCTAAGATTTCCCTGCCTTTTAGGCTTAAGACCCATTTTTGCATTCTGAAAGAAAAATAAAATGGTTAATGATCTAATATAAATTTAAGAATGTCTTGCCAAACTCAGTGAATGAGAAGGTACACACCATAATTCTTTCTTCTCTTTCCTTCACTTTTTTCTCCTTTCTGTCATTAACAAGCTCCTTGTAATTCAAGTATCTGTTTTTGGGTGGCTAAAGAAAAAGAGTGGGAAGGAAATAACTTGTTTCCATGAGCACATGTCTGCAGACTCACCTTGGCTCCAAGCTGCACAGCCAGTGAAATCTTGGCTTCTTCTTGTTTGGGTTTGTCTAAGCCTTTTATGCCAAACTTCAGCACATCATGCCTTGCTTTCTTGAAGCTTATTTCATTTACTTCCTGTGGCATCTCATTGCAAGTGTTTTTTTCTTCAAGCTGCCGTTTCTTTGCCTTAAAGAAAAAAAAAGCAATTGAAAGGAAAACAAAGCAAGTTAATTTTCATCTATTCTTGTGATGCATATAAATGCGTGCAAATGAAGAAAATGCCTCAAAATTCGAAAATAAGATATTGGTGTCTAACAAGTTTCATGTGAAAGATTAATACAGCAAGCAAATGAAGCAAAAGTACTACATTTACGTTGTTATGAACTGATACATATCGTTGGACCTGTTCTAAAATATGGGTACACCAGAAAATATAAAATTTCTGTCAATGCCAGTACTATGTGAAGCAAAAGATTACATTTTTTTTTCTTTCAGCAGTAAGGACTTACCTCAGGTGAATTTCTAAACTCATTCTGTGCTTATCCAGGCACACTGCACATGCTATTACCTGTTTTAATGTAGCAAAGTGTGGAGTACATCTTAAAAAAAAACACTAGGCCTAATGACAGTTGAAGTGCATTGAGATCCAACTCTCAAGACCCTGCAGCATTTGCTTCATGCAAATGAAATGCTTAATTTAAGGGGACCAAACTTTGAGGGCCCATGTTCCCCTGGCACAACCTGAATTACCGACCCACCCCCTCGGGATAGATGTGACATTACACGCACCATCACAGCCCTTTACTGCCCCTCAGGCAAAGGTGCTGTTTCTCTTGCCCGAATTGAAAAAAATAATTTGCTGAGGCATGTTTCAGTGCTAGCTGTTTACGATTCATAATTTATATGGTGTAGCACATCCTGGCAGGGACAGAGAAGGACACGCAGCACACATAGTGGTGTACGTGCGTGTCCTTGTTGTGATACACTATGCCAAATGAATTATGAAAAAGTAAGCCAACGATATCACATTGATGAGGCACATTTTCTTGTACGTAGTTAGAAATGAGCAAAGCAGCGAAGAATTACATATTGTGCAAGTAAACATGGTAGCTATGAAGTGTTTTCAGCTTTTGCTATTGCATATGATATTTGCAGTGCTCAAAAGCATAGCCTTTAAGGGAACAGGGTAAGCCCTATACCAGCCATGTATTTTAGCCGCAGTTTATGAACCGTTTGTTCCATAACCATAAAAGATACAGCAATTATTTTACTATCATTGTAATCATGAGTCATTATTCTTCTTAATGAAGCAGATTTGACACTGAAAACTGTAATGCCCATTCTTTGTACATTTTTTTATTTCCGGCCCCTAATTATCACTCCGTAATAGCTATTAGATGTTGTGTTGCAGAATAGTACTTCCTCGCAGAACAATAATTCAGTTTCAGTATATTCCATTACGTCATCTAAATACTGGCAGAAAACTATGATTCCAGATACTGTGATTGCTGAGAAAAACGAACATATGTACAAACAGAGCATGCTTTGAGATAATCTCATTTAAAGTTCAAAATCTGCATTATTTCAAAATTACAACGAGATAATAGCAAATTGATGGGCTTGTTCAATAGGCACCAGCCAGATACTCATCACAAATATTTTTTCTTTTTGTGTTGAAACATCTTGCCTAGCGGGCCTCATTTGTCGCCTGCTATGCAGCTGTGTCAGCACAGTACTGTCGATGCAGTTCGAGGGTGCGAAGGCCCTGAACTGTGCAGTGCCCTAGTAAAATTCCAGAATAGTTTAGCTCATTCACACAGGCTATATTGCGATCATTAAAGTGAACACAGCATCAAGAGCACATATTTACAGCATTTGTAGCTCGAGAAAAGCATTTTTTGGAACACGTTTGCATATAACAATCCAACGACTCGTTATGGTTTTGAGTTTTCCCACGAAGGCATATAGTAAGTAATTCTGGATGAGCTAGTTCCAGATAATTTAGCTTAACAGCCTCAATAACAGAGGAAGATAAATTGAAATAGCTGTTTTAAGGTAGCTGTATTAAAAATATATTTAATGCATTCTGAAGCACCCCGACACTCTTTTTAGCATTCTTGACCAGCCACATTTTTTTATTTGAAGCAACAACCCGAAAATATTCAATGTAAGTGTCAGCGCTTCCTTAAGACTGGCGGTTGTTACCAGGGCTGAAATAAAGTTTGTGCGCTCCAATCTGTTATCATGAGCTGAACAGCCAGTGACATCACCTTTGTAGAACATCGCTAAGCGCATAAACGGGACTATTTCTCTAGTCAGTGGGGGTGCTTCACTGCTGTGGTTTGGTTATGCGAGCAGGGCTTCTCCACACCTCTTATGTTGTATCTGACTCTACGTTAACATCAAAAAAGACATTTTCCATGACATTTGAATAGAAATGCAGAGCTGGCACTTTATTCCGCCTGACACTACACTGTCATCATCTTATACCCTTGAGGTGCAACATCCACATACGTGGAGGCTACTTATTATTGTCAGTTCCTCAGGTCAGTGGGAGAGAAAGGGCAAAATACATTCTGCATAATCAATGCAGCTTCATTTAACCCCAATATGCTGCATATGAATGCAGCCGATTGCTCAGTGAAGTCGCTACAATGTTGGTTGGGTCGCTCGACATGCTGCGTTACAGGACCAACATCACATGTAATATTTTTCTTTGCTCGAAGTGAACACCGCCAAAAATGAACTGCATGTGCATTTTGAGCTTAAGATTTCCTTCAATTTAAATATATGCTCATTAACTTTATTTAGCATAGCTAACCAAAAACAAAAAGTTTCTTCATTTTATTTCTTTATTCAAATATAATATTGATTGCCTTTTAATTATGTTGGGTTAAATGTAGACATTTACGGACAGTGCATTACAATTCACGCCTGAACGAGTTATTAGGAGCGGGTAAGGACTAATGACAAAATTATACTAAAAGGGTGCTATAACATTGGTCTGTAGTCGGCGACAACTTTACTTGGCAGTACTGTAGAAGCCACAGAACCAATACGATTGCCTGTGCACACGCCAAGAAATAGGCCGAAAACTTGCCGCTTGGTTCTCCAAGACAGATATACCTGAACCAAGACAAACAGTGGGCGTAAAAAGAGACCAAGCGAGTTATCTGCAATGTCTATGCTGAGGTAAGGTGCTGTTGGCCTGAACTGTCAGCGAATGCTGCAAGCAAGCAAAACTGAAACTGGAATTGAAATTGACTGCAAGTGGTCGAACTACTTGCGCAGTAACACAAATGTGCAGCCTCCGTAGCCTTCACTCGCCCTTTTCCAAGATAAGAGGTCGCTGAATATAGTACATATTATGTGATGTTCGGATGGAATCTGCAGTTACTTTGGTATTTTTAAACTATTCAATAGGCACTGTTATTGATCATGTAGATGTGCTCGAGTAATCAATAAGCTACCACAGGTATATCAGACAGATTTTATTTTTTCTAGCCAAAGCATTTTTTGCATTGTTATGAAATTTGTTTGCTTACTTCAAATGCTGTGCCGTTTTTATTGCCTGCATCGCAAGTGAACTAGCCTAACACCTAACTCCTCTAAGAACACTAGACCTTCATGAGAACTAAATCTGGTGCACTTCCTAGAAATTAGCTGTAATGTCTTCAAAATAAAGAATGTTACAATGAAAAGTCGAAGCAAACTTTACTCAGGACCAATTATATTTTTGGCAGACACCAACACAAGCATTGTAGCAGTAATCTTTTTTTTTTTTTTTCGTTAGGAATGTATAGTGAATTATTTCTATCAAACTTCAAATCTACGTTTTGTTTACCTTCACACACAAAAAACTAAAATAGCTATTAATGTTACAGTAAAGTTAGAAAAATTGACATAAATTTTCACGTTGAAAGATCCCAGACAGATATCCATACACTATTTTATTGACAAGTAAACAGGAGGTAAAAAAAACATACTGAGTGTGCTCTGCTAAATAAAAATAACTTGTATAACAAAGATTTTGTGATGACTACATGGACTGCCTATAGTTATAACTAGTAATTGAAAGAAGTTTATTACACAGCTGATTCATTTCACAGGATGGGCAGCACTTTTCCCTCCAATTAACTTTTCCATAAAGTAACCCATAAATGATCTCTGTAAAGATATGACATCCAAATTAATATGCACCAAGTTATAGCAGAGAACAAAAGAGAGCCAAGCTAATCAGTAGATGATAAAAACAAACTAGATGAGTTATTAAATCAATAGCTAGAAATACAAGATTGATAATTGTTAACATTTTTGACTAAATTATTAACATTTACTATTTTATTAGTATTGATAAAGTTTATGATTACAGTTTCAGGGAGGAGTGTACATCACATAAAGCTTATTTTAAATAACTTATAACAACTACACTTCATATTCAACTTCTAAAATATTCCTGAAAATAAAATTTACGGTGCTCATTATTTTTTGGCAGAATGATTAAGCTTTCGAGGCTTACATAGTAATGAACATAAATATACTGATCCTCTGCTATTACCAAAGATCAATTAAAAACATGATAAATTTGAATGATGACAGCAGCCATATTGTTGTTGAAAATAAAACGTTAGAGAACAAAAAAAAGAATAAGAAAACAAGTTGCTAGCACCTCTTTGCAGCTATCTTTTATGCATAATGTGCTGACTGCTTCGGGCCAAAAGTTTGATTTTGCTGCTAAAGATAGTATGGAGTCTTGGTTTGCAAGACCTTTATTAGGCCCGAAGAACCGGCAGCCGACAGCTGAGATGATCGGACCAAGATGATGATGCTACGCGACAACGATGGGGATGCATGAGCCACACATGATAATGATGATAATGTACCGGTGAAGAGGATGCGTATACTAAATGCCCACATCAATTCCCCCCACGTGAAAGCGGCCAGCCTGGCCGCGGCAAGTCAAGGGGACAAAGAACGTCGCATGAAGGGCTTCATACGGGAGACATGGACGACCTCTGTAGTTCGATAACGGCGATCTGCTGGGGCTACAAGTGGCGTCACGCGATAATTCACTGGTGAAGTCTCTTCAAGAACTGTGTACGGTCCAATAAACCGAGGCTGAAATTTGTCGCACAAACCAGGTGTGCGAACAGGCGTCAAAAGGAGCACTTCGTCTCCAGGTTGGA